CGCGACCGAGGATGCCTCCAGGTGGCCTTCTCTCGCTCCGGCAGACAGAAGAACGTGTTCGTCAGCATGAGGCGGTGTTCTGCGCAGGTGCGGAGAAGCAGCAGACCATTGTCGTTTGAGCCGCGGAGACCGTGGGGACCCAGCACTCCTCTCCAGGCAGTATGGTCTGTGCCGACGCGGGCGTTGAAGTCGCCAAGGACAATCAACTTGTCCGCCTTCGACACAGTCGCCAAGAGGGCGTGCAGGTCCTCGTAGAATTTGTCTCTGACGGCGTCGGGGTTGGTCATCGTCGGAGCGTAGGCGCTGATGATGGTGGCGAATTTGCCTCCCCAGAGAGGCAGGCGGAGGCTCATCAGGCGATCGTTGATGCCCTGCGGCAAACAGGGCAGTCGTCCCACGATGTCGTTCCGAATGGCGAAGGCGACGCCCGCGTCTCGTCGCTCTGCCCTGGGTCGACCGCTCCAGAAGAAGGTGTAGCCGGCACCTACCTCCTCCAGTTGGCCTTGTTCGGAGAAACGGGTCTCGCTGAGTGCGGCGATGTCCACCTTGTAGCGCGCCAGTTCTCGTGCCACTAGCGCCGTCCTCCGCTCCGGTCGGTTGCTCCTCGGATTGTCTAAAAGGGAACGAACATTCCAGGCTGCCAGAGTGAGCGCGCTCACCCTGCCAGTCTGGTGACAACGAGTGGGGCGACGGGAAGGAGATGGAGAAGAAAATGACGAAGGAGAAGAATAGGCAGAAGAATAGACCGAGGTAGAGGAAGAAGAGGTAGGATGAGGAGAATGAGTATGGTTGTTGTTGTTGTTATTGGTATTGTTGTTGTTTCGATTTTGATTGTTTCGACCATGTTTAGACGTCTGCGGCCCTGGCTAGCCTGGAGACGGCGTGGTACCCAGCAATGTTTAGGCCACCTTTTCTAGGCCCTTCGCCTCGTGGGGGCTGGCAGTGCCATCCCTGAATAGGGCTGCCATGTGCCGTTGTGGCACGGCCGAACTCCACTATGGGACCACGACTTCGGGTTGTAGTGGAGAGCGACTCGAATTCGCCGTAAGCCGCGGTCTCCGTCCGCGAAGGTGGGCGCGTCAAGGCGGTGTCGATGTGGAGATCCATCCCGTCACCGGCTGTCGAGCGACGTGCAGAGACGAACCACGTCACGACGGTGCCGACGCAAGGTTCCATCCGACCTTCCATCCAGCGGAATCCGCAAACCCTGTGCACACGGCACAACGCACAGGGCCCCCTCACCTGGTTTAGCCCGCCGGTCGAGACGGTTGCCCGGGGTGTGGCCGCTGAGCAGAGCCCAGCTACGTGGAGCCACAGGTGAGAGTTGAGTGCCAGCAAGTGGACGCTAGGCGCAGTCTCACCTGCAAGCAAGTGAGCGACCACCACGACCATTACGTGAACCCACCGCTGACACCCCTACACCCCACTACTACTACTACCACTACTACTACTACTACTACTACTACTACTACTACTACTACTACTACTACTACTACTACTACTACTACTACTACTACTACTACTACTACTACTACTACTACTACTACTACTACTACTACTACTACTACTACTACTACTACTACTACCACTACTACTACTACTACTACTACTACTACTACTACTACTACTACTACTACTACCACTACTACTACTACTAGTACTACTGCTACTACTACTACTACTACTACTACTACTACTACTACTACTACTAATACTACCGTAGAACACAGACCATCAGGACTGCCTTTTCCTGATCTCCAGACAGGTGCCCAAACATACACGTAACTACCAGGCCACCTCACACAGTTGGAGCACTCACTTCGTCACAGAACCCGCAAATCCGGACTTGACGGCGGATCCTTGTCACTGGAAGCCCTGACTAAGAGGTCTAAATAAATCCTTCTCGCATAAGAGAACGGGCAGCCCAGTCCACGTAGACTACTTGCATCCAAAGAGGGCACTTTATACGCCCTTCTTGTCATTAAGGCAGGATGCCTCAGACCGTCTTCACAGAATGCATGGGAGCTTATTACCCACCCTTACACTAAAACAGAGAATGTACAGTCTGTGAGCTAACTCGTGAAATTTCGGTCGAAATTACGACATTCGTTCCCTTTTCGAAAAGATTAATTAAGAAGAGCTGTACAACTAATCATTTTACAGCATAAATCTATGATGATCCAATTACCTCAGGGTGCCGGTTTTCGAATGAACTTCTTTCCGACTGCATAGAAGAACTATACTCTGCAAAAATGACTACGTAAGTAGCATGCAATTTTCTCATTGACTTTCGATGCCCTTAGAAGTAAATTATATTTCATGAAAAACATGCATAAAAATTGTCATTCTTTCACCCTTTCGGTAGAAAATTACGTCTTCTTCCAATTTTATTCTCGAAGGAAGGGCTTGATTCGGTTTTAAAAAACTTTTCCAATTCCCGAATAATTTGGAACCCGCTCTACCGTAACACTTGCATTCAGGGTTTCTAAACTACAAGCCGTATATTTTCCGCGTCCGAAAAACCGTAAATTTATCTAAGGTATTCAGAGGAGATCATATGGGCGTCATAGAATTTAGCAGTGGATTTTAACCATATTTTTGGCTTTGAAAGCAACACTAGTAAATGCGGAGAAATGACGTTTTATGAACGGTCATTTCACGGTATTAAAAAATCTCACAAATTGAAACTTTTTAAACCAAATTATACCCTTCCAGCGAGTAATAAATTGTAATAAGACGTAATTTCCTACCGATTGAACAAAACAATGAATATTTTTATGCCTGCTTTCCATAAAATATAATTGACTTTTTAGGGGCATCGAAAGTCAATGAGAAAAATGCACGCTACGTAAGTAGTCATTTTTTACAGAGTGTAGTTCCTGCATGCAGCCGAAAAGACGTTTGTTCGATAGCCGGCCTCCATAGGTAACTGAATTATTATAGAATTATGCTGCATGATGGTCTTACAACCCTACTTAATTAATCTTTTCGAAACGAAAACGCATTTCGGTTGACATTTCATGAGTTAGTTCACGTACTGTAGACCCACTAGGACGTACACATCAAAATAACCCATCACCAGGGATGCGGTTCACATCGGTCTTGCCACCGCAAAAAACGTGTTATGTAAAACCGAAACGCAGTAGAGCAACGGGCAAAAGCGAAAGGAAGACTTGACAACGCACGGCACCGGAAGTCAAACCGACCGCGAAATGCAAGCGTTCAAGTCAACCAATGACCGGTCGAACATTCTTAATTCTCCCAAAACGGGATCCAGGCGCAAGAAACGATCAACCATCAGCAGGCCAGAATGAGTTTAGTTTTGACAAGCTGTGCTAAAAGGGCTCGCAGGGGAAAGTGGTTGCTCCCGGAGCTCCGCCTCCTAGGGGGACATAACCCAGTGGTCTCCATGTGTGCCCAGGCTATTTTATGCTTGATTTACCCCTTCCTTCGCATCCTGATCGTCCGGCACATCGTTCTTTCTCTCTGCCAGATAGCAGCGTGGCTCTCGAAACAGAAGTTGTGCCATGGAGCTAAGAAAGCATGGTGGGATGTGGTTATGCAGCTCCAACTGGTGGACAAAATACCGATGGGGTTGTAGCGGGCAGCCATCATGACCGGTCTGACGTCATTGTTCAAGACCTCGCCGCCTCAAGGTCATTCACGCCTTTGCAGTGCGCCGTTCCAGACGCTCTGACCTGAAGTCACACGACCGACAGCTCGGGCATACCTGCGTCCGCACAGCCACAGATGCCCACGAGGCCACTTGATTGCATCGCCCCCCTGAAACCACAACCAAGCCACTGTGACACCACCCCTCGGCAAATGCAACACACGTTGACTGGCCACCACTTGAGCTTGGCCGACGAGCCTACAGAAGCCGCTGCCGCCACTATCTCCGGGACTCTCAGACATGACTGGACGCAGTCAACACCAGCCCTGGCTTCGCCAGTGGCCACTGCCGCCTGAGAGGACAACTCCGGGTTCTGTGCGTGATAAACTCCTCATTCTGGTGCCTTCCGTCTTCTCCTTCCAATCTGGGACTTGACTTGATAATTGTAGCTCACAGACTACACACATTCTCACTGCTGTGCCGCTAGAGGGTTATGGTCGGGACAACTATTTCCCAACCACTCAAAGTACAACCGCGCATTCCCAATAGCTTTTCTTTTGCATACAACTACTTGACCTCGTCGCCTGTGCGTTCCCCGGTTCCACCTGTAAAAACCCCCATTACCACCGGTCCCGTATTACAAGTGGCTAGAGTTTGTGTACTTCAGGTGGGGCTACGTAACCACATCTTACCGAAAACATCAGTCCCCTGGCCCGGAGAGATTCCACAGTGGATCGAATAAACCAGTGTACCAACTCCACCCCAGTCGGGGACACCAATGTACCTTATGGGGACGAAAAGCGATTGAAGAAAACAACCGGGGCGGATTCGATCTTGGGCAGTCGTGTGCCTTTCATTTCTGAGGACTGACAGTGGACCTGTTTATGCATTCCAACGGCAGGCGAGACCGGCATGTATAGACCTATTGCCCTGTTTACACTGTTCGGGTGTGTTGCGACGCCCGCGAGCTGATGTCGCATAAACTCTCGACAGGATTGGAGGGCTTCCCAGCCAGCCAGCCAGATGAGCCAAAAGTTCACGCAACATACCAGGTGAGCAGGGGCAGCATCTGATTGGTCAAATTTCAGTCTGACCTTGGATTTTCTCCTCTCGCCCTATATATGCAGTCGGAGTACGTCAATACAGATTTTCTTCCGCCCTTACTGTTCGGTTCTGATTGGGGGATTCGATCAAGGTGAGTTATCGGGCGTGAGATTCGGATAGAGGTCATCGATGCATGACGGATCTGTAGTGCTGCCTGAGTAAAGGTTGGTTACGTCAAAAACAAGTGCGGATTTCTTCACCCATTCACGGTCAACGAGTGGTGGTCCAGAATAGGCGTTGGCGCCAAGACCTGGACGATAGGGTTTACAGACAAGTGGTGGACGCTCAAATGCACAGACGGGCTTTGGGTGTGAACTTGAGCAGTCAGAAATATCCATGTTAATCGGGAGATGATTTCCCGATTTAAACATTTACGCAAATTGATTTATCGTATAATTGTAGGAAGTGGTGTCCTAGTGTAACTGAAGCGACCGGCCCCAATCAACCTGCGCGTGTGAAATTCCGTGATCGACTTTGAGAAAATCATATTGCCGTTCATAAAACAAGCCTTTACGGCTACACCAACAGAAAAGAGTCATGAAAATTTAGGGTTTTAAGTACGGAAAGGGACAATGTTAAAAGGCGATAACTGCAACATAAACTTGTCGTCAAATGCTTCATTGTCATTAAAATTCACAGCATATATGTACTGGGAGACCGCCAGCAACACTGCCACAAGAGGTGGTGTATACGCGTATATATATGTATATACATAGATTGTGCATGGCAGTTGAAGTAAATGCGTAGGCAACCACGGGGCAGCTAAATGCTCCGAACACCGTGCACTCCGCCCCGGTCAGCGCACCCGAAATAATTTACAGAAACAAATGCATGGATAAAAAACCGTCGTTTAAGCTGCGCGACAAAGTAGAATCTAAAAGAACTTTCAGCGCGAGATTATGTGAGTTAATTTAACCACAGATAGCGAGTCCGGGAAGCAGTGGGTTGGCGATGGGGGTAAGGAGGGGGGGAGGGCCAACAGGTGTTTATCGCAAGCTAACACTGAAATTGGTTGCGCGGAGGCCAAGCTGCGGATCACTGGCGCTGCGATGCGGTGTACGAATGCAGAGCAGTCGAAGGCCAACGCCGGAGGGCCTACCGGCGGTGGTCCCGACAACAGTTGACCGACAGACAGAGGGTCTGCGAGACAGCGGGGGCGAGGAGTGCCGCGTGGAAGGGCTTACACTGCTTACACAGCCCGGCATCACGTAGGGCTGCAATTCGAGCGGCAGCAGTCTCCGCACCTGGGCAGCTCGACGTCTGAGAAGACTACTGTGCGGCCGGCGACAGCGACGCCGTCTTCCCGACTGCCGCTGCTGCTGAGAATCAATTACCAGCGATGCTGTGCCGATCTTAGATTCTTCGTCTTCTTCTTCCTCCTCCTCCTCCTCGGTCGAGGAGGAGGAGGACGAGGAGCCAGCGACCGCGGAAGACGGAGCTACTGACTCAGAAGCTCCGCCACTGGAGCTGGCGGGGCTTCCGGCAGAGGAAGAAAAGTCACCCTCCAAGTCCGCTTCACGCAGAAGCTCCTCTTCCACGTCAAAGGTAGCCGAGGTGAGACAGTCCACACTCTGAGAGCGCGCGTGTCCGCTGGCAAGTGACCAAGGTATTAGCAGGCGGGAGCCATGCTGCGGCTGCTGGTAGGAGCTGGCATTGGTCTCCTCATTGTCGCCAATGTCACTTTCAAAAGCCTCCGAGTTCATGTCAGTGGTTGGAAGATTGCCAGCTGCGACCGCAGCAACAGGCGGAGCGTGGCGTACAGGTTGTGGATCAGGCAGCAAGAAGAGGGGTTTTGAGGAGCCAGCAGAGGGCGCGAGACTGTCGCTGTAGGAGACGGCTTCTTGGTCTACAAGTGGATGGAAAGAGAGGTGGGGGCTGCCAGTACAAATGCCAGAAATAGACACGCGCGTAAATTATAATGACCAGGACTGACCCTCGCTG